CTAGCTTTAGTAGAATGGAGAAAAATAAATTTTACTTTGAACAGAGAAGATTTTATCATGATTATATCCAGTGCTTTTTTTCTAAAAAAAAAAAAAAAGTGCTGAAACTCACACACATCATACAACCCGCCTTGCCTACCCTACCAGGTTCCATTCAAAAAAGGTGCCGGATGAAGGAATCAGTGACCAGTCATTGCAGGGTGCAAAGATGACTGACTGCCTTCACAGTGTTTATTGCTTTTTATACAGGTATTCCAAATAGCATAAAGTAACATGGCATCAGCATAGCAACAACATTTCTATTGGTGAAACCCCTTGCCAATCCTTAAGAATATACCAGCCAGGAGGCACCAGACAGGGAGCAGTTTTCTGCCACATCCTGTTGATGTAAGCTAGCTGATATCATGTGAACCAGGTGATATCATGTACCAGCCTGGGGTATTTCCCTACATCATCATGGCAATGTGAACGGATGAGATCATGTAGAGAGAAGAGGCATGCAGGCTTTGGAGGGGCAGTTTGCTGCTCACAACCTCTACCTGACCCCTATCTCTTCAGCCGGAACTCTGTTCCGGGCGTTCTATGAGAAAAAAAGCCCTGGTTATATCAATCCAGTATTAATTGTTAATTCTCTTATATTGCTAAAGAAGCTGCTGGATCTTTTTTTCATATTTGGTGGCAATGTTGTAAATTTCAACATATCTGGAAAATAATTTGTACTAGAATGAAACAAAATTTAAAAGCTGAATTCCCATTTTAAACTGAAGTAGTCTTATAAAAGTTTACTAAAACATATATTCCCCCTAGCTATACTGAATTAGCTTTTATATATTAGGCAAGGTTATTATGTTTCTTATTGAAAAGGCTGTCAAATTCCTTCTTAACCAACATGAGGGAGTATGCTTCAACGTCCAAAATAATTTTAAATCTGACAAAAATTTAATTGAAATAGGACACCAACTCTGGACTATAACTCAATATAATATCCAAAATTTGAATTTTTCTATGTATACAGTCAATATTTCAGTCCTATGGGATATTTAAAGTAAAACAGATTTTTAGTTTTGATTGAATATATTGTAATTTATGATTTTATTTTATTTATACTTGATCATTGTTATTAATTATCCTTGGTTAAAGCTTAATTATGATTTTAGTCATTTTAAAATGATATATTCACTCATTCAAAATTAATTTACACCAGGAAACTACCATTTCTTTGATATTTTTAGGTCCCTTGTTCATTTTGCTTTACTCTTTTCATTCTCTTTGTGTTTGTTTTTATGTACCGTATTTTCCGGCGTATAAGACGACTTTCTAAACCCTGAAAATCTTCTCAAAAGTCGGGGGTCATCTTATACGCCCAGTCATCTTATACGCCGGAAAATACGGTATATTTTTTCTCAAAAGCTTAATAAAATAAGTAGAAAAAAAATCAAGATTATAGCTTCAAAAAGCTTTCTCTCTTCTTCCAACTAAGTTTTTGTGGTGGAGTTGATCTGCAGGCTTCACTGATTCTTTGGCGGCTGATGCAATCATGGGTCAGACTCTGCCCAGCTTTTAATGGCCACAGCCCTCCACTAACATTTTGGCTTGCAAAAAAAGAAGGGATAACACTTATCTGTGTCATGCCATCTGGCATATTCCATAACACATAGCATATCCTACATGAGCACCTTATAAATATCAGTATAAGATTTCTAGTTACAAATCTTACCTAGTTTCAAAAATAGACCATCTGACAGGTAGTAGGCATAGGTCAGTGGTGGCGAACCTATGGCACGCGAGCCAGAGGCGGCACTCAGAGCCCTCTCTGTGGGCACGCACGCCATGCCCCGGAGATGGCAACCGTCCCTCTTCAACCAGCCGCCCGCTAACTCGCCGAGGTCCATGTAGCTGGATGCATCCCAGCACCCATGCGCTCGCTGGCCTCTGTGTGCAGGGGCCGATGGTGTCAGGCAGCAGCCGCCCCGGCCCCTGCCTTGCCTTGCGACAATGGCTCTCCCACCCTTCCTCACCTTGCCTTGCCTCGCCCCGCAGGACGAGCCTCCTGCCCATTGCCCCACCTGCCAGAGGCCCCCTGGATTTCCCCCAATTCTGCCCGGCTCCCATAGGTGTCCCTCCCCACGAGCAACATCGAGGTGATCACACTCACCTTGGTCACACCCACTCAGTCTGCCATGAGCACCACAGCCATGCCCACCCAGTGGGCCATGCCCACCTGGCACCCGGCGATAAATAAGTGGGTTTTGGGTTGCAGTTTGGGCACTCGGTCTCTAAAAGCTTCGCCATCACTGGCATAGGTTATCAAGAGCAATAGAAAGCTTTTTGATTTGCCAGTTCCAGTCCCTTAGCAGTTCACACTTGTTTGTTAGGTAACTTGTCAAGTACATAAACCACCATTTTAAGCATCTGTCTACAATCATCTAACCCTGCTGCAGCTGTTAAGAAAGAGTGATGGTAGTTTCATCTCCACTGGCAGATGACGATTGGTAGGACGAAAAAGATGCTAGGAAAATCAACTAATCCCTTTCTTTAAAATGCCTCACAACAAATCAGTAAGAATAAAACCATCCACTGACTTAGTTGTAGCTGAAGAGAGATCAGCAGTAGGGGCTGCACAATTTATGTCACCTTTTTTTTTCAGTAAGCTGGAGGATTGATGGTTAGCACTTCAGCTGTCTTGAGAAACAGCTGTGTAAAATATCTTATTAGGACAAAGAATCACTTGGAACTTTTACCTTTGCAGTTATCCAAATATGTCCTGTTTTAATTAGAAATAACAAGTTCTTTACAACAAATACCTTATTGTAGAAATAGCAATAGCACTTATATACCACTTCACAGTGCTTTACAGCTCTAAGCGGTTTACAGATTCAGTGTATTGCCCCCAAAAACCTGAGTCTTTATTTTACTGACCTTGGAAGAAGGCGGAGTCAACCTTGAGCTGGTCAGAATCTAACTCCTGGCAGTGGGCAGAGTTAGCCTGAAATACCACATTCTAACCACAATACCACCACGGCTCCTATTATTATGGTTAGTGACACAGTCAGCCAGATGTTTACATTTAACTTGGCATTTTTGTTCACCGTCATCATGTCGTTCTTAAAGACTGGAATAGACAGATGTTGATGTTCAATACTATTAATGCTTTTGTCACAGGATTTAAGCTGTTCTGAGTCAAGTTGATTTCTGCAATTGACTGGTGGTGATTTTGTCAATGGTGTTCAAGTGGTGCTTCCAACATTTTGGGATTGCAGCCAAGACACCTATTATTATTGGTACTATCTCTGCTTTATTTTGCAACAGTAGTTCTACTTCAATTTGCAGGTCTTTGTATTTTGTGATATTCTCTATTTCTTTTTCTTTTATACTGCTGTCTTTAGGTACTGTAAGGTCTACTATACAGTCTTTTTTTATCTTTCTTTTCAACAGTTGTTAAATCTGGGGTGTTATGGGGAAGTTACTTGTCTGTCCCAGAGCACTTTAACTTCTTCATTTTATGTTATTTTTACTATTTTGTGGTCTTACCAGTTCTGCTTGCAGGCAAATTGTATTGACTGATGAAACAAAGTAGAATCATATCATACATAGATGGCTAGGTATAAGACTGACTCCTTTGGGAAGTGAAAAATTGGGGGGTTCCCTTTTTTAATCTGCAGTTCCTGTATGCTTATTCCCTAAACCAGAGGTCCCCAACCTTTTGGGCACCAGGGACCAGTTACATGGAGAGAAGTTTTTCTGTAGACCGGAGGGTGTATGGTTTTGTGTGCTGCCTGCATCCCACAGATGAGTCTTTGGTTGTTTGTGCGGACCAGTTGCTGGCATGCCACGGCCCGGTACCGGTCCACCGACTGGGGGTTGGGGACCCCTGCCCTAAACTATGTCACTGATTTTGGGGCAACTATGGTTGATGGGGTCCTTGAAGAGTTTTAATTTTGCCAAACCCACCAGATAAAGTCTGAAGTAAAATGACAAATGGTAAACTTAGTGCTTAGACATGAACATTGATCTTTTTTTAGATAAGTGCATTATATTAAGTTCTTATAGGCTTTGATCTTTATGTGTTTGTTCAAATCAGTAGACATTAATATTCTGAAAAAGCAATTGGATATGTCTCTGTGAGTTCTCTGTTAGCAAGCACATCTCATTATTTTATTCTATGTACCTTCAAATACAAAGCAAATAAAAATACCTTGAAAGAAAAATATTTTTTTTACTTCTCTTGAGATTATTCTTATAGAAACTTTTTGCTCACATGATATTTTTCACTGGAATGTTGAGGACCAAATCATGGACCCCGCAGTGGAAAAAGTGCTGTGGGTATCTATTGCTGTGCGTTTTGTTAAAAAAAAATATTGTATCTTCTATTATACAACAATTTTCTACTCTTCTATTTTTGCTACAATAGAAACAGGAGTACAGGTCAAAAATTCAAGTATAAATTACCCTAAAAAAAAATTCATCAGCTGGGACAGTTTTTTAGTCAAAACAAGATAAGATTTAAGTGGATTTAGATTTGCAGTTCTGTAAAGCCAGCTCTAAGAAATTGTCATGTATCCATATAAAATGTGACTAATTATTTTAAAATTTGATTTCATACTACAGATAGTCCTCGACTTACGACCACAATTGAGCCCAAAATTTCCTTTGCTAAGCAAGGCAGTTGTTAAGTGAGTCATTCCCCATTTCACAACTTTTTTTGCCATGCTTGTTATAAGCAAATCACTATAGATTTTAAGTGAATCATGCAGTTATTAATCTTTCGATCTGGCTTCCCCCATTGACCTGGCTTGTCAGAAGTTTCCTGGGAAGATTGCAAATGTCAGTCAAAGGACCCTGAGATGCTGCAACCACTATAAATATTTGCTGGTTGCCAAGCAACCAAAATTTGATCACGTGACTATGGGGATGCATGAGAACTGCTCATAAGTCACTTTTTTTCAGTGGCTTTGTAACTCTGAATGGTCATTAAACAAATGTTTCTAAGTTGAGGACTGCCTGTATATTTTTAGTCATTTTAAGGAACAATTTTCCATTCAGAAAACTCTGAATTAGATTTAGGTTTCAGTTGGGATGCTTGCCCCATTCTTTAGTCCATTCTCATCACTCTTCAAAGGAGCTGTTTCATTAACATCTTGGATTTTTTCTACTGCTTTTAAGTTTTCTTCATCACTTTCTGTCCTTGCAGGCTCATGATATTTCTTTTCTCCATCTTCCTGCATCCTTTTCTTCTCTTCTTTTGCAAGCATTCTGTAGTTGTAGTAATTCATAATGAAGAGGAATATCCCAGCCAAGACCATCACTGCCCCACATTTAATGAACATGTATTTGTAGTCTCCAAAGGTGTCAATAAGAGTACCTATGAATGGAGAAATGACATTTTAATTATTAGTGACACTTATTGATCAAAATAGAATAAGACCATCATATGAGAGAGAAGCAACCTAGAACTAAGGTGAAATTTCCTGACAGCTAGGACAATTAATCAGTGGAACAACCTGCCTTCAGAAGCTGTGAATGCTCCAACACTGGAAGTTTTTAAGAAGAAACTGGACAGCCATTTGTCTGAAATGGTATAGGGTTTCCTGCCTGAGCAGGGGGTTGGAATAGATGACCTCCAAAGTCCTTTCCAACTTTATTATTATTATTATTATATTCCAGGAAAATTTTGAATCTAGATTGCTAAAATGGTTAGAGAAAATGGTATCTACTCAATTCCACAATTAAGGATGGGCTTTCCTTAAAATAAGAAATATCAGCAAATCCTAGGCTAATTTTGAATCAATATTTTGCCACCTTCTTTGCTTGCAGTCCATGCATTTCATCCTCCAATTTAATGTGCAATCATGGTTTTCTTTGACCATTTTCTTGTCCTTGAGATACAATGCTTTTAAAAACCACCATGGTGATAACTTATTGAAAGTATGGTACTTAATTATTCTAATGTCTAATCAAACAAACTACACATTTTGTAACAAAGATGAGATGCTTCCATTTTGGTTGGATAAAAATACTGCACCAAGGAGCAACATAGCCCACATTCATGCTTTAATATGGCGGCATTAGCAAAAACATCAAACAGAGGCTAATTGCAGCTATTCTAAATTTCTGCTAATCAGGATGACCTTAAGATCTGCAAAATACATTTCAATGAGAGTTTTAATGAGAAGAGAACTGGAAAATTTAACAGTAGAAGAGTCTTTCCACCTCCTCCTTTGAGAATAAGAGAAAGTCATAAAACACACCAGGAAAAATTACTTAGTCCATTAAAGCAAAACCCAGTAGTAGGTTGTTAAATGCCAAAGAACCAATCAATTTGCCACTTATTAAATAGGGAGCAACACACTGAACTCATATTGCAAACTATTATAAAGCACTTTCTAGCCTCATTAACAGTCTTCAGCAATTAGCCCTAATCTGCTTCTTAAAACTGCATGCTGAAGAAAACATGCATGCTGACCTCTCACTACAGTATAAGACAGGAAAAAAGAAGTGAAGTACTCTGATTAAAAAAAAGGATAATTGAATAATATATTTTTCAAAGCCCTTGAAATCTTAGGTTCCTTTTCACTTATTTGACAATTAATGGTCATCTGGTATAAGTTGAAGTATCAACATCTGTATCTCAACTATTCTATATCACTTATACCACATGCATTTAAGGTTACAGCTTTTTGTCCAAAGCCATTTTAGTTCCACTACAGTCAACAGGGTTAAATCAAATTAAATCCTGTGGAGCAATTATTTTCTTAACAGCAAACAGCAATAGCTTAATGTAGATTGCAGTAATTTTGAACCTGCCACATATTGCCCTTAACTTCCTGGATTCATAAATATTTTTCTTGTAGAATAGAAACAACAGATACATCCTGTATCTAATAATTGTGTAAGGATTTAAAATCTAGCTAAATCATCCTAAAACAAATCAAAAGGAAAATGGGCACATGAAAGCTGTTAAGCAGTGGATTCTCTCTTGCTGACAGTTTTCAGATAAGGATGGCTATCAGGGATAGTTTAGTGGATATCTACATAAGTAGATCTGTAACTCAAACATTCTATAATTTTAAAGTGATGCTGTTACCAGCAGTGATCTCCAAAACTTTATTAAGAAAATCAAACATCTGTATTTTACCTGGCTGCATCTATTTTGCCTTATCTTAGCAATATCGTCTGATAAAGATTTCAAATATTTTATGAAATTGCTAAACATGTATTATAATAATTATATTTCTTCAAGATGTGAATAGTATTATTGTAAATATTCACATATTTATTTGAAAGCCACCCAGATTTGCCTTATCAGTGAGATGGGAGGCATATACATGTAATCAATAAAAATAAATGAAGTATAAAAATCTGAATGATTGCTAGGTCATGAATAATTAGAACTATCCATATATTTTAATGTCATCCAATGTTCATCTAGGTTTTTGCATTTCAGATATGGAAGCACTACTTCCAGGATAGCGGGTGAATTTATTGATTGTATTTATCTTTCTCTTTTTCTCCAAGAACCCAGGACAACTTACATGAGAATCTCTTTTCATTTTATCTCCCCAATAGCAACCTTGTTAGATTTTTTGGGGCTCATGGAGAATGGCTGGCTGAAGATCCTAAACTTATTTCCATGATGGTGAACTATGTCTGCTCAGTCCTAATCTAATACCTTAGCTATCGTGAAGACTGGTTTTAATCTTATGACTGCTGTTTATTTATGTATTTTGTATGTTTAATTTTATATTAAGAACAATTAACTACTGAGCAGTACAGAAATATAATGAACGGAGATCCTTTTTATAAATTTACTAAAAGAAATTACATGAATATATTATGTTAATCTTTATCCAAAATCTAGCCAGCCAAGAAATTTGAGGTTTTGCAAGGCACAGAACATTTAGTTAGCAAGGTTCATCTAAACTGATTTTTAAGCAGCCTTTGGATGGTTTTAACAGTTTAGTTCTGCAACATCCATTTTAATGAACAGAAAATTTCAAGGGACTGGATTTTCTTGTCGGGTGATAATTTTATTCCTTCAGGCATATCCTGATGAACCTAGTTTAAATGAAATTTGAAAACTTCGGCGAATGTGGAATTGAGCAGGGCAGTGAAGAATCAAGAAATCAGATTTTAAGAGGGGGGGGGGCAGAAGCATTAACATCTGATGCTTCTTCCTTGAAATTAAAAGTAATGATTTTCATTATTGAGCAGACTAATGGAAAGAAGAGTATAAAAGTTCTTACCCCCAATAGGTGGCCCAAGTAGTATGGTGCAACATTCCACTATGGTGACTAGTCCTACGGCACTTGTGAAACGGCTGGCACCAACAAGATCCATGAGCGTTTCGAACAGCATTGCACACACCATACCAAAGGCCAGGCCAAAGAAGATAGAATAAATGACTAGGCCCACATAACTTGTTGCCAGTGGGCATAGCAGGTGGCAAACGCCATTAAAAGTAATGGAGAAGCTGAAAAAATACTGAATTCTTGGCCTCACCCATTTGCTATTTGCAATGAGCCCTGTAGCTGGCCTGGCTATCATGTCAACTATTGCTAGAATGGAAAGGAGAAAAGCTGCAGAATATTCATCGATCCCACGGTGCTTTGCATAAGGAGCCAAAAAGACAATCGGTGCAAAAAATCCTAAAAACATCAGCACGTTCCCTATCAGATAGATCAGGAAGCCTCTGTGCTTAAAAAGCGATAAATCCAGGAACTTGTTGAAGTTTTCACAACAATCTCTGTCTTCCTTTGTTTCCATATCCTGATCCCCCATTTCGGCAATGCCTCCATCAGCTTTTTCACTTATGGCTTCTTTTGTGTCTTTATTTTTTTGCCTCTCAGATGTTGGTCCAATTGGTCTGAAGAGAGCTCCAGCCACACAGCAGTTCAGCAGGATTGCCCCAAGAATAAAAAAGCTCCCCCTCCATCCAAAAGTGTCAAAAAGAAACTGGTTCAAGGGTGCAAGGGTGCAAAGCATGACGGGACTTCCTGCCATGGCAAGTCCATTTGCAATGGGACGTCTTTTCAGGAAATACTTCCCAATGATGATTACTGAAGGCTGGAGGTTCAGGGCAAGACCGAGTCCTGTGGTGAGAGAATAAGAAAGAGGTATGTTACCTCATTAGATTAAAAAAGCATGTTCTGTTATCATTGAGACTAATATGAGCCAGCAGTGTGCTGTAGCTGCCAAAAAAGCCAACACAGTGCTAGGCTGCATTAACAGAGGGATAGAATCAAGATCACGTGAAGAATTAATACCACTTTATAATGCCTTGGTAAGGCCACACTTGGAATACTGCATCCAGCGTTGGTCACTACAATGTAAAAAAGATGTTGAGACTCTAGAAAGAGTGCAGAGAAGAGCAACAAAGATGATTAGGGGACTGGAGGCTAAAACATATAAGGAACGGTTGCTGGAATTGGGTAGGTCTAGTTTAATGAAGAGAAGGACGAGGGGGGACATGATAGCAGTGTTCCAATATCTCAGGGGCTGCCACAAAGAAGAGGGAGTCAAGCTATTCTCCAAAGCACCTGAAGGCAGGACAAGAAGCAATGGATGGAAACTAACCAAAGAGAGAAGCAATTCAGAACTAAGGAGAAATTTCCTGACAATTAGAACAATTAATCAGTGGAACAACCTGCCTCCAGAAGCTGTAAATGCTCCAACACTGGAAGTCTTTAAGAAGAGATTGGACAGCCATTTGTCTGAAATGGTATAGGGTTTCCTGCCTGAGCAGGGGGTTGGACTAGATGACCTCCAAGGTCTCTACCAACTTTTTTTTTTTTTATTATTATTATTATTATTATTATTATTATTATTATTATTATTATTATTATTATTATTATTATTATTGTTGTTGTTGTTGTTGTTGTTGTTGTTGTTTAAGTGCATCCCAAACAATTCTGTGGCAGGAGTATATTACTAAATCTACTTTGTCCTAACTCAAGATTCCTTAATTTAGTGGTTTACATTATGGACTGAAATTATGGATTGCAAAAGTCCACTCAGCATCGCCAGGCCTGGGAAGGCCATTCCGTTTACAAGTCAGATATTTCTAAAAATCATCTGCATGAAAACTGATGTGCAGATTTATTTTTAATAAAGTTTTCAGAAGGAAACAATAGGTTTGCTAACAAAATCTCTAACAAGAGTCTTTACAGACAGCTGTATTCTGGACAGCCCTATTTGAACAGTAAACTGCTGTGAAAAGGCATTATTTTAAAGCCATGACAAGAGCCAGAAATACATATAAGCAGATGAACATTTTATAGGAGAAGGTTCGTGACTGTGCTTTGAAAACAAAGCAAATCGAATCTATTTTCTGGGTCTGTTATAAATCATAACCAGCATGTGAAATAAAGAGGTCTGGCAGCTATTCTTGCTCTTTATACCCCATTTCTGAACTTGTTCTGAAAAAGTAAATATTGTCATACGGGATTTTGAGGACATGGGAGTCAGGAAATTAAACAGGTTTTATAACTTCTTTTAAATGAGAATAGTCCGTTCTTGATTCCACTTAGTGCCTTGGTGCCACTGAGTACTAGGGGTTATTTTTTTTTTATTTTACATTTACAGTATACCGCTTCTTTTCTAGGAAGAGCCCAAAATAACATGCCAATAAGGACAAGAAGCTGATGAAGAGAATGGTGAAAACCATCAAAATATGCTACTGGAGAAAGGGTTCCTCTCCCACCTGCAGAGAACTGAACCTGAACCTGTTCATCAACATATATGCCAAAGCGTCCACTCCACCAAAGTAAATCTTGAAGGAAAGTGGGGGCTCCAGAGAATTATATGTATATTTTTCATTCAGATTCTTATTTGACTCTTGAGATTCTTCTCTTGAGTTTTGGGCAAAGTGCCTTAATACAGTATACAGATCATAAGAGCTGAATATTACTACAGCAATGCCTAGGTATACAACACCACGGTCAGAATGTGTCAGTTTTCTAGGTCATAGGTAAATGAAAATCATCAGGTATCTATGGGGTCTTCTCTTGGGACATATAACTTCTATAGACTGAGCCGTGGTGGTGCAATGGTTGGAATGCAGTATAGCAGTCTAATTCAGCTCACTGCCAGGAGTTCGATCCTCACCAGCACCAGATTCACTTCCCTCCTTCCAAGGTCAGTAAAATGAGAGCTCAGATTGTTGGGGGCAATATGCCGACTCTGTGAACCGCTTAGAGAGTTTTGTAAAGCGCCGTGAAGCAGTATATACAGTAGTGGCCAAAATTGTGGAAACCTTTTGGGAAAAGTGTATTTTTGAGGTTTGATGGCTAACAACACCACTTTTTTTGGGAGTAGTACCATAAAATTATGTATCAATGGAAAGATAATTTAATCAAGAATGTAATGCAACAAAGTTTGTTCAATTATCTGTACTGTATTCTATGAAAGGTTATAGCCAAATAACCAGAAAAAGGAAGCACAACTTGCTTAGGTTGATATCTGGTAGCTTTCCTTCATCTGATTGTAGCCAATGAGCAGGAGTGTTTAGAGAGCCAATCAGGTGTCATCTTGTTTTGTCAATGAGCCAATCAGATCACAGTAGGATTCAGTTATTGATGTCATGTATTGAAGCTGAGAGGAGGTCATTTGTCAGTGTGTTATGTGATCGCTAGCAAGTTGGTTGGGTTTTTTTGTGTTCTTTCATTTAGTGAGCTTGTAAAACATAATAAAATTAAAGTAATGGTACAAAGAGTTGACTGGTTGCCCAGAAAGCGATGTAAAATAGTATTATTAAGTGAACAAGGCTACAGTTATAAAGAAATTAGAAGAAAAATTGGTGTAAACTTAACCAAGGGTGGCATTTTTTCCCAAAAGATTTCCACAATTTTGGCCACTACTGTAGGTCTAAGTGCTATTGCTACAGAAAAGAAAAAAAAGAAAATTACCTGTGATGAGTCCAGCACAAATGTATAGTTGAAAAATGCTGGTGCAGAATGCTGCTGAAACCATTCCTATGCCACATAGTAGCCCTCCAAATATGACGACTGGCCGGCTACCAAAACGATTCACCAAAATACTGCTAAGGGGACCTAAAAAATGAAGGGAGGGGGAGGAGGGAATGAATCATTTTCATAAATATGTCTCTGATGCCACATACTTTAAACATCAATACAGGTTGAATTATTCTTGAAATCAGAATAAGGATTAATTAAGGGGGTAGGAATGACTCCCAGCTAAGTAGGAGAAGAAAGATGCTTGTACAAAGTCTGTCAAGTCTGCCATTCTTGGAAGCATTTGTTTATGTAGCCGGCTAATTCAATCACTAGTCATAGCATTTGAAAACAGAAGATAATATTTGACATAGGGGCATCAAGCAAGAAATTGGAGGGAAGAGAAAGCAGAGGGAAAACAGGAAAAGAAAGCTTGCTTAGCAGTATCATTATCATAAGATGCACAACTTCATGCAGTGACACAGAAAGATCAGAGCAGATTGTAGCGTCTGATAGTGGCTGATATCAAGAGAAGAGAAAGAGGAAGAGAGAAAAAGAAAAAGAAAGGGGAAGGGGGAGGGAGGTAGGGAGAGAGAGAGAGAGGAGAGAGAGAGGAGAGAGAGAGAACAGTTCCTACTATTAGATGAGAGATTACTAGGAAATAAATTGGAAAAAAATATCCAAGAAGGCAAAAGCAAGCCACTTCTATATTTCTGCCCAAAAAACTTACCAGAAGGTAGTCAAACTTAATTTGAGAAAAAAAAACAACTTCTTTTTCTTAAATGCAGAAAGAGCATAATCACACAGTATTTTTCATAGGTTCATGACACTCATTCTTTCTATTTCAAATGCAGTCAGAGCTTGTCTTTCCTTTTGTAGGCCAGAACAGAATATATTGATAAAGACATGAATGCAGTGTTGACTTTTTTTTCATTAGGACTCTGTATATGGGCTGCAAAACTCTAGATCAGTGTTTCTCAACCTTGACAATTTTAAGGCATGTGGACTTCAACTCCCAGAATTCCACAGCCAGCAATGCTGGCTGTGGAATTCTGGGAGTTGAAGTCCATATGCCTTAAAATTGTCAAGGTTGAGAAACACTGCTCTAGATCAAGGGTAGGCAACCTTGTCCACGAGTCATAAAAGAGCCAAGGTTGCCTACCCCTGCTCTAGATGATTATAAATGGTAATAGATCATTTCTTTTCTGACAGCTAGTGATTGTCAGATCTGATAGCCATAGCAGAGTATTGGTCAGATCTGATAGGTCAGACCTGATAGCCATAACAGAGTATGGACCAGAAGTTAATGCAAAATAAAAAAAATAACATGGGAACTATCATAATTCACTAAAGAAGCACAAGTATGTTTTATCACAAAGATAATACAATGTTTAGTACTATATTGTTAGATGCATTAGTCTACCAAAATGAAAACAACAGACATTAAACTCTAACTGATTTTTTATGGTATACATTTATATGTAATAGAGATGCAAAAATGGATGGATGGATAGAGATTATATCCATAAATACACAGGGAAAAATATTAAAAGTGGAGACAAAGCACATGAAATGCAAGATACCGTTTGCATTTCTTTCAAAGCTCAAATGTGATTTGGAAATATGCAGTGATAATCTATAACAGCAAAACCTGGCAAATGCTAGGAAGATGATATTATGAGCATTTAATATTCACTTACCTTTAGTGCATGTATTTTTATACAGAAACGTGCAGACAAAATCTGAATGTTCTGGCTTTATGACTTCATTGAGCTCACCCTCATGTTCTTTACCCATATCAAAACAATGCCCAGATCATTGTTTATGAGATTATAGCCTCAAGACGCAGATTTTTTCTCAGCCCACCACAGAGTTAGCTTAGTGTTTTTTGTAGCTGTTCCTCTTTTCCAATAATGCTTTCCTGTTCTCCCAATACAAGTTTTCCATATGAATGGCTTCAATCAGGATTCAGTCCTGGACTTCTTACTTGCTACACAAGTCTAACGTACTTCTGGAAGAGCATTAGATTTGGATTCTTTTCAGTCAGGATTCAGACCTGGGTATGCAGTGAAAATAGTATTGGTCATACTTTTGGATGACCTCTAGGATGGGGGTACATGATCCTACTTCCCCTCTTAGCAGCTTCTAATACTATTGACCATGATATCCTTCTAGATCAGTGTTTCTCAACCTTGACAATTTTAAGGCATGTGGACTTCAACTCCCAGAATTCCACGGCCAGCAATGCTGGCTGTGGAATTCTGGGAGTTGAAGTCCACATGCCTTAAAATTGTCAAGGTTGAGAAACACTGTTCTAGATCAATTCAGAGGGTTAGGAGTAGAAGGCAAGTTATTCTGCTGGTTCACTTCCTTCCTTCAGGGTCTAACCCTAACCCTGATAGTAATGATTGGGGAGGAGAGGGATCCATCCTCACCTTTACAAGGTTTGGCGCTTTCTCGTGAAATTATGATTTATGGCTATGTTTATTAGGGAAAAAAATAGATAATAGAAAAAATAAATAATTTTGTAGCCATAGTTACATTTGCTACAAAACTAAGGTAATTTTGTAATTATATTTACTTCAAAGGAAATTGGAATCTATTTTCTATTTTTTTTATTCTTTCTTTTTGCACTTTTTGTCTTATTTTCTCTTTCCCTTTTCTTTACTTCTGTTAAGGTTTATTTTTTTCAAAACCCTTAATAAAACATTAAATTTTATATTAAAAAAAAATAAAAGAAAGATCTGAAGGACCAAGTTATGGATAGATCATCATGGACAGAATTTATCTATGTGGTTGCTAATAGTTTGACACTGAATTGATGGCACATAATAATCAGACCAACAAAAAACAGAACAGCCTACAATGTTCATCCAGTTCAGGGGTAGGCAACCTTGGCTCTTTTATGACTCGTGGACTTCAACTCCCAGAATTCCTAAGCCAGCCATGCTGAGGGGAAAGGGGGAAGGTTTCCAAGCTGAGCCATGCTGGCTCAGGAATTCTGGGAGTTGAAGTCCACGAGTCATAAAAGAGCCAAGGTTGCCTACCCCTGATTTCCAGTTCAAGGACTGGAGGAGTAAACATTCATGAAGCCATGAGAAAAAGCCTTTTTAGATTTTTATTTCTAAACTCTATATATAATCTACCAACTGAAAGAATATATTTCAAATATCTGATAATGATTTCAGGCTTAAGTGGATGAAAGGCGCTGTACAGTTCTTTGTTTATTTTTAATTGCTACTTTATTCTTATAGTTCTGTATAAGAGAACTGATACCCTCTGACAATATTTGGGATTGTCCTTCACTGATTAGTCTCTGCGAAGCGTCCCCTTGCTTTTTTATGAAAGGCTTTAAAAGGTGTTTAAATGTCTGCTTCTTAATTAAGAAAGCAAGGTGAGAATGAAAGCAGAAGAAACAGCTGGCAAGGATCTTCTGGTATACTCATAAAGCTGCTCTTTACTTATCTTGACCTTGCTGAGGAAGTGATGGTTGTGTTGATAGATTCCCATGAAACATTTCAGACCTGAGGAAGTGGCCTCAGAGGTCCAGTCAACAGCTGCTGAAAGTTTTATCAATATGGCCTGCAGCTTTTAAAAAATGGGATGAAGGGAAGCCACTGGAGAACAATAATTACTAGTTGCTATGTGGAGTCAAACAAACAAATGCCTGGCTCTTTATAATAGGGAGTTTGGAAGACTCTGAATTGACCCTTTTATCTATTAAGGACAGCTGTCTACTTGACCAGCCAAATGCAAGGTTTTAAGAACAAATATTTCAGTGATCAAATTAGACCAATTATTTTCTTTTAGTCTCCAACCCAATTATTTATGCAACTTTGGCAATCTTTCAAATGCTGCCCGTTATGCTTTACATATTTTATGCATCGTCTCTCTGTAGACAAAAGAGTTAATGAAAAACCCCAGAAAATAAAAAAACAGGCTTCTGATTTTTATGCTGCAATTTAATTATGAACCAGAAAGTACCAAGATGAAACACAGTCTAGTGATAGACTTCACAATTTTTGTATGAACTCTGTGAATACAACAGGGGTTCAAATATACACCAACCACATTTTAGACTAATGCATTACATGAGCCCAGCTCATGTGATTTGGGTTTGAATAAACCAAAGTTAATAAGGGTGTTACAAAAACTAAAATGTTGGGAGAAGCAGATGAGTAGAACAATCAAAGTTTGACCACAGAAAATAATGTGTACGTGTAAGAAAGTGAAGAAATAAAGATGTCAATTTTGACATCAGACAAGAATCAGAGTCAAGCTATTCTCCAAAGCGCCTGAAGGCAGGACAAGAAGCAACGGATGGAAACTAATCAAGGAGAGAAGCAACCTAGAACTAAGGAGAAACTTCCTGACAGTTAGAACAATTAACCAGTGGAACAACCTGCCTCCAGAAGCGGTGAATGCACCAACACTGGAAGTTTTTAAGAAGAAACTGGACAGCCATTTGTCCAAAATGGTATAGGGTTTCCTGCCTGAGCAGGGGGTTGGACTTGATGACCTCCAAGGTCCCTTCCAACTTTATTATTATTATTATTATTATTATTATTATTATTATTATTATTATTATTATTATTATTATTATTATTATTATTATTATTATTAATTATTATTATTACTACTACTACTACTACTACTACTATTATTATTATTATGGTGTTACCTGCCATGTAACAAGGAACATTTGACTTAGTAACCTAATGTTCAACAAAAGGATAGCTGATAAATTACATTTGTCAAATAATGTAAAGGAAGATGGAACAGGTCAAAAAATCCTAATACATGGACACCACTATGTATACAGGGCACTCTTCTCTTTCCCAGTCCCTGTACATCACTTGATCAGAGTACAGTGAGGCAACTGAATACAAATGTGTGAGTAATGCTTATAAAATTGTAAACTTTATAGGTGTATAAAAAGTAGGAATAGGCAATGCTATGGCTTCTATTCCTTCCTTCCTTCTATTCTCTTCCTTTCTAAACATGTTGCAGGAAGAGAGTGTTCCCACAAACTTGGAGGAATTGAATATATCTACGTGGATGGCAGTCACTGCTGTCTGGAACTCTTAGGGTATGCGTGA